GACAAATGGGGATCAATGACCAGGATCAGTACTACCACTGGCCACCAAGAAAGGAATGGGGAACCTTCACCTTCCTCGCTCTAGCCTACTAACAGCCCAAAGATGGACCAGTAGCACCAGAAGTCACAATGGAGGAGTCACTGATCATCCTCTCTTCTAATACATTCCTATCTCCCCCACTGCCCACTTCCTACCAGTCCATCTGCCCTGCCATGGCCACCTAAGGCCCTAGAGAATTTGTCATCTGCCCTGGTATTTTTTTCTAGAAGAACCTAAGTACCATTTGACCTTTCTACCTGTCATGAAACTGAACCCTCCATTACATGTAGTCTCACCCAATTAGAATGTGAGATCCTTGAGACTGGAGATTATTCCAATTTTCTGTTTGAATCCTCAGTGCTTAGCCCAATGCGTGACATACAGTAAGTACTTAATAAATGCTTTTGCATTCCACTCCATAAAAAGAGATGGAAGCAAAAGGACAGGAACAGATTAATAGACCTTCCCAACCCATTACCACAGCTAAGAGTATTAAGAAGCTGCTCCTTTAATTTAAGCCTTTGTTTGCCCCTTCCACCATACAGAAAGAAGTCCCTTAAAGGCAGCAATGGTTATCATTTCAACGCAAGAAAAAAGGAGGTATATGAAATTATGTGAGGAGTAAATTTTTCTTGATTTTCTTCTCCATATGAATGAGAAATGAAAAAGGAATACTGTCATACCCCTACATAACATCACCCTAAAAATTCACTATGTTATAACCACACTCCAACATAAAGTAATGAAACCAAGGACTAGCCAATTGTTCAAGACTCAAATCATAAGGTGAATCCACACTAGGATCTGAATCCCAATATAAACTTCCCTAGGTGTCCAACTATTTGCCATATCATTTAGAGCACTGTCCCTGAAAAAATAACTGCCCTTCGTAATATTGTTTCACCTAACATGAGGTTTTCACAGAACCAATTTGCAATCTTGCATGGTGTCCATCTGTGTATAAATAAACACAGAGATAAATCATATATTTCAGTGCCATTAACTCT